TTTGAGATTCATATTTGAGAAGGTCTACAGGAAATCTTTTACTAAGGGAATGTAATACCTAAAACAATTCTCATGTAGTGAGGTCACATGGGGCTTTAGAATGCCTTCTTCCCAGACGGCCAAAGGAGTGGCAAGCAGAGAACTGAGGAAGCCCCTCTAAGCCATGGGTTGAAATTTTAGCCAAGCGCAGACGTAGGAAATGGCAGATCTAAAATATTCACCACTGAAAGAACAATTCTGCTAAATGCACTTGCTTCTCACAGCAACTAAGGAACCAAAGTTTTGTTTACCTTCTTTAAAATGTATGAAAAATCTCCACTCCTACTTACACACTTTCAATTTTTACTCTTTGCAAATATTCAAACAAGGATTTCAAAGGCCAATAACTGTATGCTTTTGGACACAAACTGACCCAACATTAGGATAATAGCTATAAATGCATATAGTTCATTTAATTTGGGATTTTAAGTTCATTGATAGACTGGTCTTATGCTGATCGCCATGGAGAGGTTATTACTAAGATACCACTGAAGCCCTTCACAAAATTAATTTTAATCTTGTGCTGCAGACCAGAGAATTCAGATCCACATCAATATATTATAATATGCATTCAGAGTCAAGGCTTTTTTGGTGGTATATGTAGTTTTACTTTAAGTATCTAGACTAGAAACCATCTTAACTTCATATTCCTGGCAGTATTGTGCTGAAAACATCTATGTTCTCTAATTAAGTGTTGAGGATTAAAAATGAGAAAATAATCCTCAATCCTTCTACCTCAGAGAACTAATCAATGCACCCATTTGATACGGTGTTCTTTTTTTATGTATTTGGTACACAGCTCAGACTCATATTGATCTTTCTGTTTCCACCTCCCCAGCACTGGTATGACAGGCATTCACCACCACACCTGGTCTGATACTGTTTTCTTTAATTAAAACATTCTTTTCTTAAGCCCCAAGGGGGAGGAAAAAAAAAAAAAGACATCAAATGATGGAAGTAATGAAGTCCATTGCATTTAGGTTAGAAATAACACTAAAGGATGACTATTTTGACAATGACATTTTACATAGGCAGAATATTCATTATGAAGCAAATAAAAATAGCTAAAGTAAAAACTCTGGTTTTTAAAGATTTTTATGTTTTTCTTCTTAAGATCTAGATTTAAATCCTGTAACAGTGCTCCTCTCCTAAAAAGTCCTAAAAAGATAAGATAGACACTACAGGATTGTTCTGGTTTTTGAAAAGTTAGAGCTGGTACCCACAAAATATTCCCCAGAAATGTCCTCTTCAACTAATCCCACTCAGAAATTCACTGGGTTTTTTTTTTTTTCTCTTCTCCATTTAGCACCCAGTGGTTGGTTGAGTGGCTGCCGTGGTACAGTCCCTCAGTCTGCCTAGGGAGACAAACCAGGCAAGAGGGCTCTACAATATAAGTAGCCAAATGAACACCTTATGGATATTTGTGGAAAACTTGGAAAAACCATGAATGTAACTTGGGGGAGGGGTTATCCTTCTGTCAGTGGAGGATAACTTAGATAAGGGAAAGGGAAGGCAATCACGCAGAAAGGACAAGAACAAGCAGGGTCAAGGAGATAGCTCAGTAGAGTAAGTGCTTGCCTGGCAAGTACAAGGGCCTGAGTCCAATCTCCCCAGTTGCAAAAAAAAAAAGAACACATAGATAATAAGCAAATTATTACTGAAGCAAAAGATTTACGGATCAGACACAGATAAAGAAGATATTGTTGAGTTCTCCTATTAAAGTTGTATGTCATCAGTTTTTAGATGTGGGAAAAGCAGCACACTGATTAATTTATAGGGTCACACAACTAGGAAACAGCAGAAGATTGGAACCCAGAACCCACCCTTTTTTCCTAATCTACTTGGCAGCTAGGTAGGGGGATAAATTTTAAAGAGACAGGAGTAGAACACATGTTTGGAATCTTACTGCAATAGTCCAGGCAAAAACTGACAAGAGCTCAATATCAAGTGCAGAGAGGCCTACAGGCTCTGGACTCAAGAATCGCCGAAAAAAACAAGTTTGGCTCCACCAACAAACCGATTGAGGACACGGTACTTCTGTGCTTTAGTTTTTCCTTCTATGAACTAGTAATAGCAATTATCTGATATTTCCTAAGAATTAAATGCAATCACATTTGTAACTTTGACTAGATATCACTATGCAAAGTTAGTCATTATAATGGTACAGATGAGAGATTGAAGATATGCTACACTGAAGTAACTAAACTTAGCAGGAGGGTGGGCAAGACAGCCCAGCAGACTAAGTGCCTGCTTATGAAATTGCAAGGACCAGGGTTCGATCCCCAGTATCACATGCCACGCAGCCTGGCTCCCATGCATGCTGAGACAGCTACCAAAACAGGGCTGGGTGGTGTATTTTGGAACCTGTACTTCCAGTGCTGGGGAGGCTGAAAACAGGAGGATCACTAAGTCCAAACTGTGTAGTGAGACCCTATACCAAATATAAATAAATAAACAAACTGCAGGATTTAGAGAATGATTTGGGCACAGGAAGGAGAGGTAATGGGAAAAAAAAAAAAAAAGGCAGGGAAGATACCCAGTTTTTAGCTTACCAGGTATCTTACTACATCGACCACCACTGGTGATGAAGAAACTGGTTCATGCAGAGATTATTTTCTTTTCCTTAAAGTATTAACAAGATATCTACAAATAGACATGTATAGTGTACAGCTGAATACAAATATGAACCTCTGGAAAGTGGTATAGGGGAGTCATTATGAAATAAGTAATAGTAAAATGTGACTATAAAGCCGAGATATTTTTTATTCTAAAAAATAAGGACTTTTATTTGGTGCTAATGGATAAAATGTAACAAAATTCAAATACAGGAAATTACAGAAGTTGAGATTTAGTACTAGAAAAATAGAGAATGACTTCTATCTAATGTATATTTTTGTTTAGAAAAATGAGTGTGCTAAAGCATTTTAATCCAGAGTCATAAACACCAAACAAGAAAAAAATTCCCTTTATAATTTCAGATCGGGTCCAAGATTTTGCAAAGCCATTTATCTCTATTAAAAATAAAATTTACAAAAATTACATTTTATAGCAGTTTCGGAAAGCATAAGGAAAAGGGTGGGGCCTCAATACTGTCCCAAGAGTGATTCCCCGCAAAAAGCAGCTCTTCACGGTCAGGACACTAACAGATCAGATTTCATCTATTTTGTCATTTCTCCTTAATACTGAGTTTTGTTCCTCTAAGTGAAAAGCCTAACATAGGTCTGCTTTATCCACTTAGCAAAATATCAAGTGATATGAACTGTCCTGCCATTTGTGGAACAAAGACTTTATTTAAAACTAAGTATTACTAGGATTTAACAGTATGCCATCATGAAACTCCAAACATCATGAGACATAAGCAACCCCCAAGACACAGCAATTTCAGCTCAAAGCAGCTGTGATGCCACCACTAGGAAACCTGTGAGCTTTCTGCTTCATTTTCCCTCACCACACAGACTCTAATACAGGAATGTTTGGCCCCTCGAGGTCTCACATGAGGACTGGAAGCAGCAGTCTGGGATGGGTATCAATATTACGTAGCAAGAGCACTGCTGCCATTTTTGGCAACACCAGTCTTTAGTGTATGGTTAGCTCCCTCACAACTAAACATTTTATATCCCTGCTCAGCCACCACCCAATACCAGAACGCAACCGGATGGAGTCTCTGAATATAAAAATAGTACTTTCATGTCCCATCAATTCTAGAATGATTAACAGAAACTTTAGTGGGTTTCTGTTTTGATACAAGCACCCAGCTGCTAACATTAAATAATGCAATCCTTGATAAAAGTTCTCTTTGGATAGCCCTAACCACTTAATCTCATTTGCTATTTCCTCAAGTATGCACATGATCACAAGGTAGATTCTGTAGAATGCAGACATTACTGACAAACCTCCCAACAGCCCAAGCCAGACAAACCCATCAAAAAGTAGCTGTGACGTTCAACAAAGGACAAGCCCCATTCCTTGATCCAGGGAGAATATCAGACCTCAGTCCTGCCTCACCTATGTTAACTGTGTAAGGCCAGGTCTAGACAGGAGGCAGAAGGGATAAAATGTTGATGCTGACATGCTCTCCTTGCGCCAACCCCACCCACTCACAATGAAGTGACAAATGCTGCAAACCTGACAGAAACAGCTTAAACTGTAATCACTACAGACAAAACAAGGCCAACTGTCACAAAAAGGTAGTATTAAGTCTCAGATGCTCCTTTCTGCCTCCTCCTACAGTAGACACAGGATTAGGGACTTGAATACCCTCCAAGCCAAATGAAGGAAATAACAGAAGCACTCCCATTTTGGAAAGCTTCTCTCAAATATTATCTAACTACTGCCTCTTAAAATTAAAAAATTCTAGGAGCTAGGGAGACAGCGCAGCAGTCTATGTGCCTGCCTGGCAAGCACAAGGACCTGGGTTCAAAACCCAGTACCACATGTCATGCCGGCCCCAGAACCCTAGGCAAACCATGGTTGGCCCCTGAAGCAGGGCATGGTGGTACATGCCTGTAATCTTAGTGCTGGGGAGGCTGAGACAGGAGAATCACTATGAGTCCAAGCTGTATAATGAAACCCTGCACCAAATCAATCAATAAATAAAAGGTTTTTTAAAAATTATATTCTAAGTACCGTACTAACAAACTCTCATAGGGATCAAAAACTTCATGACCTTTCACACAGACAAAACAAAACAAATCCAGATAATTGCACCTGAAGGAAAAAACCCAAAGACATGCTAACTCCTCTTTCCCACAGGTTTCACTCAACATTATTACAGATTACAGTTCGGGAGAAAAAAAGCCACTTACAGACACCTGTGAAAAAAGGAGAAACACACCGAGATGACCAGCTAATCATACTCAGCCTAACAAGCAGCTTTGTAGAATCTGTGCTCTGATATAGAGCAGGAAATAAACAATTAAACAAAAAGTAAAGGAGAAAGTCAATTATAGATTTCACCAATATCTTGTACACCAGTTTGTAATTTTTAATTAGAATTGTTATCAAAGACAACATACCTTTCAAGTCTGACAGTTTAACAATGTTTAGCAGTGGCTTTATTACGTGAATGCTTGAAATTATTCAACATTAAATTCAATGCACTTCACATTAATGTTTGCAAATACATTATTAACAATTTTTAACTATTCCAAATTAACCAAGTTGAAGTACAGAGAGCTTGCTCTCAACTCTTCTGCCGTGATAGGAAGACTACAAGAAGCCTAGCCTAGGACTTGAGTCCAAGTCTCTACCCAACAATCACTAAATCATCACTGGTGAACTCATACGTGGGAACTTCAAGGTTGAGGGGCGCAGGCCCCTTCCTGATCCTGCCAGAGGCATCATAGTGTGACCCATGGCAAGGGCAGTAATAACCACCAAAATCTCCTGCATTTGCAATGGGTACACAACCAAGATGAGTACAAACACCAATCAGGATAACCCACTCAGGTTTCTTGACTCGTTCTAAATCATGCTGTGGGTCCCTCAGCTGGGACACTTCAACCGCAGCTTCTTGCTCAATTTCCTTCTGGGCTCTATGACGCACAAACAGGGGTTTGCCTCTCCACTTGAAAGCCATGTTCTTGCCTTCCGGAATATCAGACAACTTGATTTCAATTTTCGACATGGCCAGTACATCGGCAGAAGCACTCATGCTGGAAACAAACTGGGTGACAGCATTCTTAGCAGCATATGCGACACCCACAGTAGTTGTTGCAGTTACCAAATATGAGAAGCCTTTTCTAGCTTCACTGCTCTCCTTTGAAGACTTCGTGCTATCTAAAACTTCAGCGCGGCGATAGTCGGAGAAGTCAGGCACTCTGACATCTGTATGGGAGTAACGAACAGATGCAGGGACTGCAAGACAAATAGAAGGTTAGAAAACAGATGAGAACCCTGATGGGCATGTCAGGTAACAGACTTAACTGATTCACAAGCAAAAAAATCGAATTCTAAAAGTGCAAAACATACTAGTCTCAGAAATACTCAAACTGGCAGTGCTAGCATAAAAATACTAAAATGAAACGCAGTTGACCTCTCACATTGGCATTAAACTACAAGACAATACTTACAATTTTAATTCCTTCTGATTATGCACAGCTAATTCATAATTCCTAACATCTCAGTGCACTGAATTAAAAGTTAAATAGCACAATAAATAGCAATACTTCAGTTTCTACAACTGCTAATGCCTATGACACAATTGTGCTAAGTACTTCTAATATTCTTTGTGTAAGACTCCCAAATCTCATCCACTCTACCTGGCAAGCTGTGTGATCATCTTAAGGTAAATGTGAGTCTCACATTCGTAACTATGTGATCTCTGAAAGAATTGCAAAAAAATAAATTCTGTATTATTTTTATTGTTTTTGCTTTAAAATAAAAAATTCACAAATATTAAATGAAAAGAATACTGTATGTTCTTTCAGTATATGTTTTGTTGCTCAAAATTTAAGGATTTCTTTTTTAGACTTTAGGGCAAAAATATTACTTTATCTTCAAGTAAAATCACTCATGGACAGAAAAGGATATCTGTAATAAAATAGAGCTCTCAGCATGAAATCTAAAAAGAATAATTATTTCAACTTAGCAGGGAAGGGGAAAAAAAGTTCCTATATTGCCCTCTTCAGTGATAGGCAGTTGCTTCCATCAGAAAAAGATCACCTTTCATTTTCACTTTCTTTTTGTGAGTCCCTCAAGTAGGACACTTTCACTGTAGGCTATACAATGGGCCAAATGTTTGTGTCAAGTGAAGGTTACCTAAACTAGTTAAGGCCTACATATAGTACTTGGGGAGCAAGCAGTTTTTAGAAACAAGTTATGTCCTCTCATACCATTTATAAATGTCTAACCAAAAAAAGCCAAATTTATTATCACTTTGAGTATGTTTCAGGATGTAAATCTCTTTTCAAATGACTTACCTGTTTTAGAAAATATGTCATAAAGTTTCCTTTGTAGAAAAGAAGACTATGTTGTTTACTTCTAGAATATTAACATACAAGCTAATGGATAAGAACACTAAATAGAACGAATGTCACTCTCACTCAGATCTTTGGTGTCTACTCCTCCCTCACAGGTTACACATACTTTACTGGGCTACATCAAGAACTATTTAGAAGAGCGATGGCAAACCCTTTATTTAGAGCTTTCAATAATCTAAACACCCCCCTGTGGTGCATGTGCCACAGATTTGCCACCTAAATTCAACTGCCATGTTGCAAAAACCATTAAGTAATTTACATAAGCTGAGATAATTTACATAAGGTCTGAGATATAGAACCTGAGATGCTAGATAAATTCTAACCTAAAGCAAGATGCTATACTTATGGAAATATACACTAGAAAAGAGATGATCTGAAATATTTTAAACATTTTATGGGTTTTAAGCTCATCTCTGATATGCCTTGAAAATGTGCTTAAGAGATGCTACCATAATGTAAACTTCTTACCCAACTCAAAGATCTTCTGTTCCAAACTTTCCCACAATGTCTGTCACTAACCATATCATCAGAATTTTTTGGGGGGGGGGGGGGGGGATGTTACTGCAGTGTCTACAGATCTCACTACACAGATCAGACTTGTAGTGATTCTCCTGTTTTCAGTTTGCCAAGCACTGCGATTACAGGCACGTTAAGGGGGCAGCGCCAGCATGGCAGGCTGGGGATCCAACCTCCGACCCCTGCATCTGCCTAAGCAGGCACTTTAATCTGCTGAGCTATCTGGCTAGCCCTAGAAAAGAGATTTCTAAGGTAAATCTGAAGACATGATTCACATTATTGTCTTTTTTTCTCTTGTTCTACATTATTCAATTGATTGTACAAAGTATTTCTTTAAGGTAGGTAGGTTTTTTTAAAGAAATTTCTTTAGTCATATGATAAATTCTAGATACTTTTTACCTTTGCTAAAATTTCTTCTTGGGCCTAAGAGATGGCTCAGTAGAATAGGCACTTCTCTGGCAAGCACAAGGGCCTGAGTTCAATCTCCCATTCCAGCAAAAAGATAAAATAAAAAATAAAATTTATTCTTTTTTCTCTCCCAATAGGACTGGAATGGAGTAAATAATCCAAAACCCACTGATGTTCTTCAACACTCATTCATAAATATTTTGGACCAACTGTAAACTCTGAGGTGGTAGGCACAGTAAAATGAAAGACATAATTCTATGCCCTCAAGCCCAAGGTCATAACCCAACAAACACAAAATAAAATGTACAATGTTCTAGGCTATCAAGACATGGAAAATGATTCTAAATTTGAAACTGAAAAAATGGAAAGAAAACTGCGTAGAAGGATCTTTAAAACAGCAGACATGCTGGGCAGGGTAGCAAAAGCCTACTGTCTTAGCTGCCCTGGAAGAAGTGGAAAGAGCAGAGGAAAAAGTTGTCCAAGGGTCACAAATTCAAATGCCAAAGGAGCCAAGCAGGTAACACAAAATACGAAGTAACTTGGTGATGACTGCGTCTGCATGGAGCCCAGACAACTATGGGAGCAACCAATACATAGCACACTGCAGACTTCACCCATGGGGAAACCAGGGCCCTGTGCTGCCAGATTCCAATATTTCAAGACTCCAGAAGATTTATTTTAGTAAGTGCCATTTCACAATCTTCCACTCACAAAAGAATAAGAAATAAAGCGCAGCACACAAAATAAACTGTGATCTTCTCACTGAGGATGTGACATAAACTCCTGGGAAAAGCTGAACGCCTAAGTATCCAGTCTGGTCATATCCGTCATTTTCTCTTACAGTCTATTTTTCTGTTTTTCATCAACCTCTGCCTCCTCTGGAGGATTACACTGTTGTAAGAGACCTTTGGCCAAGTGCCTGACCTTAAGTGACTGAAGTTGTGTTAATGTTTTGGGGAACGGTGCGAATCGATGAAGGAGAAAGACTAAAGGAACGGGTAGTGTTGTAGGGGGAAACGTCCCAAATCCCAGTAACAGTTCATACTTTTTGAGCATTTATCATAAAACTTTTTCGTGTAAGCCTCATGACAACCCTACGAAATTCGAAGACGCACAAATGTATTCCTCAGACGAGGAGGAACATTTACAAACTTGCTCAAGGTCAAACTACCTGTAAGCAACAATACTTCTATCGGATTGTGCTGGGAGACACCTGAATCGACCTCTACGCATGACCAGGTACAACGTCTGGCCTGCAGACCGGGGCTCCCACCCGCGCCAACGCAGACAGCCCCTCACAGGCCGGGAGGCCGGCGGGCGGCGTCACGCTCGCGCGCCCCATTCCGCGTCCCCAGCCCGCCTGGCGGAGGCGCAGCGCTGCTCAAGGCCGCCCAGTCCAGAAATTGCACCTCCCAAACAGGGCCGCCCTCCTCGGCTGCTCCCAGGTCTAGGCCTCGGAGGGAGAGAGAAAAAGGGGTGCCCTCTGCCCGGCTCACCATTGAGGCTCACGGAGGCGACCAGAGGCCGTCCCACGGCCTGGCCACTCAGGGACTCCCGGCACAGGAAAGGTCGCTTCACGTCCAGCACCAGCGGCTCCGGGGTGGCGGGCACCGAAGCCTGTACCAAGGGCCTCAGCGCGCCCACCACCCCGCGGGACGTGGCCGAGAGGACGGGCGCGAACGGGCCCGAGCGGGCGGCGACCGACAACATGGCGACTACTGCACCACAGGCCGAGCCGGTTACGGAGATGACCTTCCGCCCGCGTCGCAGATTTGAGGAGGCGCAGGACTTGTGACGTCAGCGCGACGGACGCTGCGGAGCCCCGAGGGGCGGAGTCAGTCGGAAAGGCTCGCGTTGGGGGCGGGACCTATGCGGAGGCGGGGGCAAGGGGCGGGGCTTAGCGCCAGATCCTTCTGTCCTGAGCTCATTCTGCTCTCTTACTGACTTAAGTTGGTCCTCGAGAAGGGGCCGCGAGAAACATGCTGTGGGCTGAGTTTGCGATTCTTTAACTTCATGTATGCAGACCTAAAGATAACAAAAAATCTAATAGTTTAAATGGGGGAGGGGGTTCTTCCTTACATACAGATGACCCAGAATATAGTAACTTCCATGTGATGTTTCTTTACCGTCGTATAACAACAAATGGCCATAAATCTGTGTGTAAAACTTAATAATGATAATGAACGAAGCTTGTTGAGCGTCTGCTATGCATTGGATTTTGTGTTTTCCTGCATTCTTTTGCTTGTAATTAAATTCCCTATGAAGAAACAGCAATTTTTCACAACATTTTACCATTGAACATCCAGTCCCTGTGGAGATGCTCTGCCCGGGCCAGACTGCTTCTCACAGGGTTTCCCAAGGTGAGGCTTTAGGGAGTGCATAAAGGGAACTCTTTCTGTCACATGGCGAGGAAGTGGCTCTTATTTTACTTTCAGTCTTTATGGTAACACTTATATGAAAGCCTGACTTTGGTGCGAATATAATTTCAGTTCATCTCCACACTTACTAACCTCTCCTCTGAATTAGCCTGGAATTCCGAATAAGCCTTGAATTCAAGCAGACAACTGAATCCAAAGACAATTTAATAATATTGTTTATTTGAGGCTATTTACTTTTTTATCCACGATGGCTATATTCTCATGAGATAGTCTATAATCTTGAGAGATAAAGTTTCTTCTTTTCGTTCTTTTATGTAAATCGCAAAAGTTACTTTGACTGTTAAGGATACACAAATACAAATATGAGCAGTACCCCGACTTGGCAGAGCTGTGCTATGATGTGGAAGTGGGCCGCTGAAGTTCCTCAGCAGGACTCTGCCCTGCATGCACTCTGACTTAGGCAAGTTTCCTGACCGGACTGGGCCTCAGTTTCCTCATGCATAACATCGAGGTGCTTTTGGTGGCACCTGCCTTGTGAAGTTACTGGATGAAGTAAATGTGCTGATATAAGCAAAGCACGTAGAAGGAAGCAGCAGCAAGTGAGGGTTTGCTGGCAGTGCTTTTTCCTGAAACGGGATCACTTGTGGAGCAACACCTCATTCCTCTACTGACCCATTGCTGTTCCTCTCTAGGCTCACTACACATGGACCACTTTCTTTTTGACTCTATCAAGGCTAGGCCTTGGCCGTGCTTATGGTCTCTGGGACTGTGTTACACTCTTAAGTCGGTGAGCTGCTTCATCAAGTGGCACTCTGACTGGGCTTGTTACCCAGCAACAACCGAAGGGTAAAACAGACACTTCCACAACGACTATACAAGCCAGGCACAGTTTGAGGGCTTTATATGAAATTATCTAATTCCTGACAGGCCTTAGACGGTGATAAGAATAAATGAAAAATGCATAAATAATCTTCACAAGGTCTGCACAGTCTTGGAGTAAGGTGAGCAGGACAGAAGTTGTTATCTCCATACTCTGGGTTCAATCCCAGCTCTTTCACTCACTAGCTGGATTGTAGGGCAGGTTATATAAACTTTGCATGTGCCTCAGATGACAAAATAATAGTATTCACCCCCCCCAAAGAGTTATTATAAAAATTAAATGGCTCAATAGATGTCAAGTGCACAGAACTCTGCCTAACATAAATGAGTGCTATGTAAATACCTACCACCACCACCACCACCACCATCATCATCATCATCATCATTCATCTCTCCATTTTTTAGATGAATAAACTAAGACAGAAGACAAATGACTTACCCACAGACACATCACTGATAAGTAAAAGAAGCTGTTTGTTCTGGGATCTAGTCCAGAGTTGTAGCAGCGAGAAGGGTAACTCTGTAGCTGAGTATCTCTACTTTGGCAGAAGGAAGGAGGTCAACAACTAGAAGTGGCAGGGGTATTGGAAGTTGAACCTATAGAAGTTGATCTGACACTAGGTAGTTTTTGGCTTTTTTAATGAAAAAGATTATGATGTTACCTTTTATGTTTCAGCTTACTCTTTCCTTAAACACTGTATCTTGAAGGCGCTGGATACAAACAACCTGACTGACACACCAGCTCTACCCCTTACTAGGCGAGTGACTTAGCGAAATACTGAGCTTCAGATTCCTCATCTATAAAACAGGAGAAAACTGGGATTGCTTTACAGATTATATAACATATATGAACTACAGTGTTTGGTATACAACAGGAGCCTACTAAATGTTTGCTGTTATTTTTGCAAAGTAGAAAGACAACATGGCAACAAGCCTGGCAGCATAAATCATCGATAAGCTTCTTAGTAACCAGTACATTTGAAAAACAAAGTATGTGGATGGACAAATGCAACGGGAGGCGCAACATAAAGCCTTTGTTTTAACCAGTAAATGGTTTGTTTCTATCAGCTATCAGGGTCATAGATTGGACAGCCATTCTCTCCCCTATTAGTTCCACTAGAGACCTATTGAACAAGTATACATGGTGCCATAGGCCTTAGAGCTATTTGCTGACGTTTGCAGATTGTGAGTCATCCACATGGGCACTGATACGCAGATGAATACCCGCCCCAAGCCCTCCCCAGATGCCCATGTCCTGCTCTCTGGAACCTGAGAATGTTGCATACTCTTTTACATAGCAAGACACTGTGGATATGATTAAGGCTCTTGAGATAAAAAGGTTACCCAGAGTTGTCCAGGTGGCCCAGTATAAGCACAGGGTTCTTAAAAGAGAAAAGGTGGGGGAAGGAGGTGGCCTGAAATGATGAATGCAGGTGGTTGACAGAGGCTGGGAAAGGTAAGGAAACAGTTCCTGTTATAGACTCTCCAGAATAAATGCCACCCTGAAGACTAGTTTTAGACTTCTGACCTCCAGAACTGTAACATGATATTATGTTGGTTTAAGCTACTAACTTTATTACAGTATAGTACAATGCATTCACATACACACACACGTGCACACACACACACACACACACACACACTTGTCTTTCCCTTAAAACTTTAAAGATGTGGCCACAGTTAGCTCTGTGTTTGGTGCTGTTAGCCAGAGCAGGCACTTGCTTGCTGGTTTGAGTCCTCTCCCACTGAGTCCATTTCATCAGGTGCATTACCTGCCTACCCCCACTGAGGCCCCTGACTAAAAGATTCAGGTTTCCAGAATTTTATGATAAAGCTTGACCCACTGCTAAAAGCAGCAGGTTGCTAACAAGCACTGGAATCTCCTAATTCCAAGAGTGAGACTTGTATTCTGGGACGCTTGCTGTTCCCTACCCTCTTGACGCTTCCATCTGGAAAACAGGTTATGCAGGGGGTGGAGTGGAGAAGTAGATTGTCCTCTTATTTATAAAGTGGCAATTATGCCTAGGATTCTGGACGCATGATCCACCTCGGGGAACGTGCCTCCCCCGCCACATGCAGCTCACCTTGTGCCTACACCAAAGGGCAGCTGCCACTCCGCAGAAGGAGCCCCATGCCTGTGCTTGTTTCCACCCCATTACCTAGGGAAATTCCTGGCTTCTCATCTCCAGCTCCAGCCCTTGTGACAGCTTCAGGCCCTGCCGTCAGCAGACGTCCCTCGCTTGAGCAGTGAGACATGAAGACTGGCAGCCGCTTGAGAACTGCACAGACTGTCCCCAATTTAAGCCATTTAAAATGCATTTGTGTTCCATAAAACTCATTTCCGTAATCCTGTGCCCCTACCTCTTTGAAAGATAGTAACCCTAGGGAGGAGAACAAATTAGCCAGAGAGGAGAAGTTCAGACATGCTAATATTTTAATCGCTCCTTTCTTTAACACATTAGTCACATTCATTAAGTATGATTAATTTGCAAGCTTTGTTGAGAATCCTATCAGTTTCCCTATCAGCCACACATCCATCTCTTGCGGAGTGAGTTGCAAGAGTGGCACTGAAAATCTCCACTTTTTACACCTGGATTGTATTATGTGCCCCTTGAAAAATGTGTCAAGTTAATTGAACCTATTTATATAAAACATTTGCTAAGGGCCTGGGTTTCTGAGTCAGGAGGGCTCGGCTTGATCCAGACTCCTCCTCTCCCTGTCTGACTTGTTTGGGAAAGTTACTAAAGCCTTCTAGGTCTTAGATTTCCCATTTGAGAATTCATTCATTCTTTCATTCAAAAGACATTTGTTCAATGATTACTATATGTAATGTTATCTGTCTATTGCTGGAAATAGTGGTAAATATAGAAGAACAAATATGTTTGGGCTTGAGAACCTTGTATTTTAAGGGAGTAAAATGGACAATAAATAAATAAAACAGGTGAGGTAGTGATACAATGTATGAAAAAAAGAAAAGATGGCATAGTGTCCTGGCCTAGTGGTAGAGGGTGTTCCTGCTCGAAGGGAAATCAGAGATCACCAGTACAATCGGATTCCCATTTTATAGGTGAAAATATTTACACCTCAGAAATATGCTTTGTGGGTCCATTCATCAAATGAGTGTTGAGCATCTACTCAATGCCAGATCCTGGCTAGAGGCCGGGCACTCAGGCACTTCTCTTGAAGCACTTGTACCTGCTCACTGCACTGAGCTGTGGCTTTCTTTCTCTGGGTATGAGAGCCAGGGAACCAGGCAAGGTGCTGCCCTACTGCCATCTGCTTGCCTCTAGCTAGCTCCATGATGACTCTGAAGGTGCAGAACGGAAAGTGAGTCCCCATGCTGCCAGGGGGAGGCCTTCAGAATGTAATCCTCTCTCCTCTCCAGAAAGCCACCATTTCTGCATCACTTTGGGGCTTTCATGCCACCCAGTGCTCCCCCACCCCAACTCTCAGAGTGGGCATATCCTTAGAGCGACAGGTCAAAGGCAAGGTGTTCTGCTGGAGAATTAGACATTTTCAGTAGAGAAGGGAGGGTTGGAGATGGGT